ACGAGAATTCGAACCAGCAACTCCCCGCCCAATGGTTGAAGACTAAACTGTTCGACTACGATCTGGCAATGGATGAGCCAATCAGCACACGATCACGTGGTTGAACTTTCGCGATTGGAGAGTGAGTGGCGCTCAATCTTGTCTAAATGCAAGCTAACCAAAACGCTGCTCAGGCGCTCACAGCCAGACAGTTTAGTCAAAAAGTCGCGGGTTCAAGTCGTTATTGATATTCCCAAAATTCGCACTGCTGATGATTTCAAACAAGAATGAAACAGCTGTGCTTCCCGGCTTTTCGGTGTCACTTAGGAGACAAAATCTACTTTGAACTTACCGAACTGAATAAATCTTTCAGTGTTATCATCAATTATGGATGAACCTCATAGGTAAGCCAGATGTCTCATTATAACTATCGAAACAGACTCCACATTCCCCAACTAGTGGTCTCTGCTATTTTTGACCTGACAGCATTGATACGTAATCATTTCATCCAATAAGTCCAGTTGAGTACTAAGTTAGCCCTAAGACTGTATCCGAGGTAGTTATTCGTTCTGGAAGTTCTCCGTTAGGCTTGATGATAACAGGCATAAGAAGCCAATACGATTCGAAAAGTTTGGAAAGCTGACTTATGATTGGATCTTTCAAGTACATTTGGACAACAGTTGGACCAATAAAACGTCCCGTTTGCGTGCAGCTAGCTGTGAAATGCCTCAATCGTTTGACAGTAACGCTCTACTTNCCATCCTGGAAGGCGTACAACACCAACAACACCTAAACTATTCGTGATCTGTCGAGACAAGCCACTTGATTCAAATGCTCAAGTGTTGCGGTAGTTCAGTGCCGGTTATAAGTGGAGTTCGTAGTTTATCTCGTGGTCAAAGCAAGTCAAAATGTTATCGACACTCGTGTCCACTTACACTTCCTTCAACCAGCGCATTGATCACGTTACCAAGTGTGGACAGTGATCTGTTGATGTTTTTCGCCTCGTCTAGTGTCGAACCTTCCGCCCCAGATTTGGAAACCTTTTCACTTCCGGCAAGGTCGACCAAATAGAGTGACCCGATCAGCTGTTTCCCAGTCTCCCGATTGTTCTGTTGTATGCAGATGCGAAATATTGAATGGCTGCGTGAGCTGTGTTCGTTCATATCTGTAAGAAAGACAGAAGGCATTGAGGCCGATCCAATGTTGGGAGACTCAACCAATCGATCACCTCCTGGAGACTCTTCTTATCTCCTTCTCACCTGTACAGTCAGAGAGTTTCCGGGGACCACCTTCAAGAAGTCAGCTAGATATCCCAGTCCAAAATTTATCTGTGTTGAGGTTCCCGATATGGAACTTTGATTGACGCGTACGTTTGACAATCCCGAATATTGAAAGAAAAAACTGGGTTCGTAATTCTACGCGTCAGCCGCATCGGGAACCTCAACAGTACTGAACTATTAACGTTCGTAGTGTCAACAAGAGCACAGGTCTGTCACTGACCAGCACAGTCCAGTGTGAACGCCGCAGACCAAACAACGACGAGCGGAATGATGGCTCAGTAGCGTGGGTTGCGGTCGTTCCTTCCGATGACGGTCTCGTGATTCTCATTGGATGTGCGATCACGCG